TGTACTGAAGAACAATACTTGAGTAAATGTGCTTGGTTACTTTACACCACTGCTAACAGCTAGCTAACGGCAGAATGTGTATGCAGTCAAAAACAGGAAATAAAGTGCTACACCAGTATTACATATTAATGTAAAAGTACTATTTGCTATCTCTGCTTTTAATATTACGGTGCTAACGTCGTGAGGAGATGCAGAGAGGCTTTGTGAAGCTGACAGCTACTAACAGCACAGCTAGTATCAGCTGTCGGTTGCTATAGCTAGCCGTTAGCTCGTGTTGCTAGGTTGTTTAGTGTCCGACCGGGACAAGTTCAACCGGCCAACTTACCGAGTGCCTTGATTGAGGAAACATCATGTCAGCAGTGTGTTTCGCCTTTTTCCCTTTGGTCTTATCGAATCACCGGGCTAGCTGGCTAAGCTAACAGGTCCCCAGATATTATTAAATGATTGGAGACGCTATTCGCACTTTGTACTCTGTCATCGTTTAAAATAACGTTAGCTAACGTCAAAGCAGCGGGAGCCAAAGATCGTTTTCTTGTCTTTACAGTCGGTAAAAGAACCGCTGCTTCCGACGATTAATATGCTAACAAAAAATAAAAAGGTCTTCAAAGGAACATCAGGTTTTTTTGGAATAACGTTAACGTTACACCTCCCCGGGGAAACCCTGGATGTTGACACATGAGCTCCCGACTTTCCTCTGCTTTGAAGAGAAGAGCAGCATCGGAGAACAAACCGATCCGCGGAGGAGCGGGCGCCTCGTGCGACACAGCGCGGAACTGAAGCCTCGTGCCGGTGTTATGCCGTAGATTGAAGCCTTGCCGTAGATTGAAGCCCTGTTCGCGGGGACGCGCAAAGGTGACGTCATCGCCTGTATTGAGTTTTTGCCGTTTTTTCACCCTTTTCTAAGCTTTTTTCTCTCTTTTGAATGATATATCAGATTAAACAGCAAACGGCTGAATAAATAATGTGCATACAATTGCGAGGAGGCTCGTTTTAAGGACACGTTTTTCAGATCTGTCACAATCTTCGTATTGAAATAAACTTCCGTTTTTGAGTGTATAGTCCCACTCTGTTATATTCCTCCTTCCTACAGAACAGACAATGACGGGATAATATGTGATTTGTCAATAGTCATATTTCTTAAAAACTTCTCTGTTGTTTAAGTGTCTGATAACCACGAATAGTAAGCAATGATATGACAGTAATGATATCACATGATCATGTCAGACAGACACTGTGTTATTTTCAATCAAGCCTACAAGATAATGTGTTCAAACTGTCTTCACTCACTTGAATTGCTCTTTTGAATATCATTTTTATATATCTCTACTCAACACATGCTTGTATTGTAATGCCACTCCTATTTTTTTAATTGTATTTTAAGGTGACATTGAATGCTTTGAAAGGTGCCCTAAAATAAAGTGTATTATTGATCTTATATCTGTGCCTCTATTACATCACATTTCATTTTCTATCACACTATTAATGTTCCTTATTTTAGACTAGGTTAATCCTGGTGTCAATAGGGAAGATCTGCACTGTTCTACATAACATGTTCAGAGCAGGTATTTCTCCTGCCGGATTTGGAATCCCCCTATATCTTTCTCCAGGATAGTCACAGACTCACCAAAATCACACTGGTGCTGGCTGTTCCCCTCTAGTTTGTGCTCACAAAAGCATTTCACTCTGGGCCCAGCAGGTACAAAAATAAAGAGGGGCTTCAAAATCCGGCAGAGCAGGTGTTGGTGCTGCCGGATTTGGAACCCCCCCCCCATATCTTTCTCCAGGATAGTCACAACTTCACCAAAATCATACTGTTGTTTGCTGTTCCCCTCTAGTTTGTGCTCACAAAAGCATTTCACTCTGGGCCCAGCAGGTCAAAAACTAAAGAGGGGCTTCCATATCCGGCAGTGCAGTTGCTAGAGCTGCCGGATTTTGAAGCGCCCCCTGTCATTTCGGCCAGGACAGTCACAATGTCACCAAAATCACACTGGTGTTGCCTGTTCCCCTCTAGTTTATGCTCACAAAAGCATTTCACTCTGGGCCCAGCAGGTACAAAAATAAAGAGGGGCTTCCATATCCGGCAGATCAGGTGTTGGTGCTGCCGGATTTTGAAGCCCCTCTTTATTTTTGTACTTGCTGGGCCCAGAGTGAAATGCTTTTGTGAGCATAAACTAGAGGGGAACAGCAAGCACCAGTGTGATTTTGGTGACATTGTGACTGTCCTGGCCAAAATGACAGGGGGCGCTTCATAATCCGGCAGCTCTAACAACTGCACTGCCGGATTTTGAAGCCCCTCTTTAGTTTTTCACCTGCAGGGCCCAGAGTAAAATGCTTTTGTGAGCACAACCTAGAGGGGAACAGCAAGCACCAGTGTGATTTTGGTGAGTCTGTGACTATCCTGGCCAAAATTACAGGGGGCGCTTCAAAATCCGGCAGCTCTAACAACTGCACTGCCGGATTTTGAAGCCCCTCTTTAGTTTTTGACCTGCTGGGCCCAGAGTGAAATGCTTTTGTGAGCATAAACTAGAGGGGAACAGCAAACAACAGTATGATTTTGGTGAAGTTGTGACTATCCTGGAGAACGATATGGGGGGGGTTCCAAATCCGGCAGCACCAACACCTGCTCTGCCGGATTTCGAAGCCCCTCTTTATTTTTGTACCTGCTGGGCCCAGAGTGAAATGCTTTTGTGAGCACAAACTAGAGCAGCCAGCACCAGTGTGATTTTGGTGAGTCTGTGACTATCCTGGAGAAAGATATAGGGGGGTTCCAAATCCGGCAGGAGAAATACCTGCTCTGAACATGTTATGTAGAACAGTGCAGATCTTCCCTATTGACACCAGGATTAACCTAGTCTAAGATAAGGAACATTAATAGTGTGATAGAAAATGAAATGTAATGTAATAGAGGCACAGATATAAGATCAATAATACACTTTATTTTAGGGCACCTTTCAAAGCATTCAATGTCACTTTAAAATACAATTTAAAAAAAATATGAGTGGCATTACAATACAAACATGTGTTGAGTAGGGATATATAAAAATGATATTCAAAGGAGCAATTCAAGTGAGTGAAGCCAGTTTGAACACATGATCTTTTAGGCTTGATTGAAAATAACACAGTGTCTGACATGATCATGTGATATCATTACTGTTATATCATTGCTTACTATTCGTGGTTATCAGACACTTAAACAACAGAGAAGGTTTTAAGAAATAGGACTATAGGCCTACTGACAAATCACATATTATCCTGTCATTGTCTGTTCTGTAGGAAGGAGGAATATAACAGAGTGGGACTGCACTCAAAAACTTAAGTGTATTCCAATACGAAGATTGTGACAGATCTGAGAAACGTGTCCTTAAAACGAGCCTCCTCGCAATTGTATGCACATTATTTATTCAGCCGTTTGCTGTTTAATCTGATATATCATTCAAAAGGGTGAAAAAAGCTTAGGAAACGGCGAACGCTCAATACAGGCGATGACGTCACCTTTGCGCGTCCCCGTGAACAGGGCTTCAATCCACGGCAGGGCTTCAACCTACGGCATAACACCGGGCTGGGCTGCTGCAGGGCCGGTGGGAGGCTTCTGGGGCCCCGGGACCACGTGTCCAACTTTGTCCGAGACTGCACAGCATTTGTATACTTTGTCCCACAAATTGAGACAATGTCCCCCCCTTAGCTGTGTCAGATATCAATCAATCAACAAAGTATATAGGCCTACATGTATTTACTTATGGGTGTAGCAGTGGAGGGTGATTCCCAAATAGTCTTTGTGACATTTTGTGACCAGAATTGTTATTTCAAGCTCAGAGATTGCAAAGAAATATAATGTGGACATCTTTTGTTGGAATGGAGGACACATGTTGGATGGAAAACAAATCCATTCAAACCAAATATATGCAAGTCCTTTACTTAGTAAGGAGCATAGTTTGTTCAATCAAATCAAACCATAGTCAAGCATTGTGATTCATATTCATAAGCTAATATTTCCAATTGAAATGTAATTTTTTTTTAGAGTTAAATGGACATTATTGAAATCTAAACAAGCTTTTATTATTGCAGTAACACTTCCAACATTGTCCCACACAAACATACTCTTACGTGGCTTGTTGGCAGCGTGTCACCCTATGGGACAAGCTGCAAAGGTGGAAGAAGTATTCAGATCCTGTTTTGGTCTTACTGTCAGAATACTCCCACATGAGTAAAAGTCCTGCGATTAAAATCTCACTTGGGTACAGAAATATAGTCAGAATGATTCTCATCAGGTATCACAAGTTCAAAAAAAGTAGGCTACTCATTCTGCCGTAACATTTCCATTATGTGAAATGTTTTATAGTTATTGTTTTACACAGTATAATGTTATACTTCCTTACTTTTTAGTAATATTTAGGTTACCTCTTAGTAAAACGTATTCTACTGGTTCAATCTTAGGTGATGCATGCTTAAAGTTCATCATGTTTCATTTTTTGCAAAGTTTTAATCTGAAAAGTAGGGATGTCAGATAACTGTAGTGCAGAGATACATTTACCTCTCTGAAATGATATGGTCTAGAATTATTGAGAAGCAGAAAATGGAAATACTAACACAGAGTTTGATAGAGAGCCGGATTATTATTAACAGGCTGAGCAAGCATCACATTTACTCAACTTGGTTCTTCATTCACCTATAACATAATTGTTATACAAAATTGTAGATTGAATTACATGAACAAGGCAATCAAATGAAAGTGACCTTTATATTGATTAAATTACAGATTTCCTTTAGAGTAAACATTCAGGGTTATGTATTTACACAATTCAACAACACACCATAGGTCGAAACGTTTTAGGAAATTTGAATGTACAAACGCAATTTGAAATATTTTTTTGTTAAATCTGAAATTATAATAAAATCACAAATCCGATACTTGTTACCATTACAAAATAGAAATACACATGATCAAGTCAGATTTCTTCAGCTACGTTTTAAAGCATCATGAAACCCACTCAACACACACACACCATGAGCAAGTATAGGAACAAATTTATTTCAATTTAAAACAGATACCTTGTCATTATGTTTCTCTCTTAGAAGGCGGCAATGATCATAAGTCATGTTCATGTTTGAATGAGGATCAGGCAACAGTGGTTGAAACAAATACATGAAACACATAAAAAAATATGGCAAGAGTTATGTAAATCAATAATCGATAATAACCAACTGATTGAACCCCCTTCATTCAGGGCTCCCTGCTTCAATGAAACATCAAAGCCCTCACTTCCAACACAAAATAAACAGCACATGCAATTATAATTACAGTTTCTTAAAAAAACAGCAGATTATTTTTTAAATCTTCAATCTTAAATACAGAATAAAGTCTTTGTGTGTACTTAATCAACTATCCTTTTAGTCTCTGGTGTGTTTTATTTAAAAAGGGGAGACCATCTCAGGTGGTGGTCCTCTGATGATGACCACAGCGTTGGCACTTAGAGAGAGCCTGGCTCTACAGAGAGTGGGGTTGGCACACTCAGTATAATACATAATTTACATTTGGTTTACATACAGAAAAAAAAACAGTATTTTATACACCACTACACAATTGACCTTCAGGTTTAATTGGAGTGAGGAAAAACAAATCAAGTGGTCCTAAATAATAGAGTTCTGGTAATGTTTTCTTTATCATACAGGAAATTAAAAACACAAAAAAGGGAATAAGATTAACGTTTTGAATATGCACTGACTCCACACTGATGTTGAAAGATCATTTTGATTCCACTCATTTTAACAAGCCTGCAGGAAGAGAAATCACACAACCACGGCCACCCAAGAAGGTCACAGAGCGAGCTCCGAAACCACCGAGGGCCGGCAACACCATCTTTCATTATTCAAGGCAATGAAAGGCAATAAATAAGAGTGTGTGGTCATTGCTCAAAACAGACAAAATGAGAAGGAGGTTGAGGTTTCTTTACAGTCTTGCCTTCCCTCTCTTCAGCGCATATATGTTGATAAAAAGTGTCAAAAGCACACAGTGCAACACTCGGCTGCTAAACTCACTACCAAACCCACATTAACAGCCAGTCGCCCTTCACCATGTGCCAGAGTTGTAGTGTCAAGTTTTAAAATACAACATGGTTCTTCTCCATTAAAGTGAGCTGCACTCAACACACAGTAAATCACAACTACTGATAAATACTTGGGTTATCCATACTGGTATATCGCTCCACTTAAATACTGGCATCCTCTTTATGACAGCAGTGTTAACAGTTGGCTGTCTGCTTTCTTACGCTCAAGGTTAGTGTCCTTTTCAGCAGACATAATGATAGTTAAAGACCACACTGGTGTTTCGAAATAACATATTTTAGCCCAATTAACATAGTGTTCAAACTTTTAATTAAGTGTATAGATTGATGCTCTTCTTTTCGAATAGCTTCTGGAGTTAGTTCATCTTCTGAGTGACAAAGTGGTTTGAAATAGGCCGCAGAGAACATTTAGTCATGTTTTGGTTTGAATGCAGGTAATGTAGTGGATAGGAATGATTTTATTTATTTTTAAAAGCTGCAAGGGTGCACCAATCCAAAATGCAAATCAGTTAGCCATTTTAAAACCAAGGTTATAATGGTTCCACAGTGTGGTATACAGATTTAAATTTGGTAAAAAGATTGAGGGATATTATTGGATTGGTACTCTGACCAGCTAAGAAGAAATGTACCATTTCAAACGTTTTCTCTCCTGGTACAGAGCGTCTTTGAGTGCAATAACAAGGAATCTCTGAGGCACAACTACACCAGCAAATCATTGCACAAAGAAAGAAAAATGACTAAATGTCATCTGTGGCATAGATTCTCTCTCAGAGTCAAGCCTTATTGGTATGAACTGAAGCCATAAGCTGCAAGTAGTAAATCAATGTAGGAACTGGAGAAATGGTCATCAATAAAGTACAAGGTTTGTAGCTAATCGGTTAAAACATGCAGAGTCCCGAGAATGGTCATTTAGTCAAATACTTGGGGAAACATGCAATACTTGTCCTGGTAGTGGTGTCTTTAGTGATAAGTGTCTTTATACTGCATTAGGTGTTACAGGTAACACTGTCATACCAAATTATTTTAACCAAAAGGCCAGATGCATGAAGAAAGACATAAAGAAAAGGGTTTTAGTGTTGGTAATCTCTCAAAACACACATCTTATGTTTACATTAACACCCTGCCTATACTTCTTATAGCACATACTGCAAGTATTCTCCATTTATAAACAAGGTTAAGTAGTGGATGACTTGGTTCACTGTGGTCCTATACTCCACTCCCCGCTGTCTGATGCCTGATGCACTGTGATAGCCCTTAATGAGGATGAAGGATAAGTCACCTGTAGAAAAGGTCAAAGACCAAAAAAGTATATCTGCACTTCACTGGCACTATCAAAGCAAGCCTCAAAAAACTGGAAATCAACAATGCAAAAACGACAACAGAAGTTTTGTGTTAAATTACAAATAGCAAGCATGGACCGCGTGGGTCATCAATCACTGATAAAAAAGTCCACCTACGTTCGTACTGTACATTTTTCTAGGTATGCATTACAGCGCTGCGTCTATAAACCGAGAGGAAATACAAGTTTTTTTGTTTTTTTTTTCTTCCTTTTTTTAAAATCAAACAAAACAAATGTGAGGGCTCCTAAAGAAAACCAAACAGTATTATCATGGATGGAGATGTGATGGCGAAGTACAACTGGAAATGTCTCAATAAGAAATAGAAAGCAGAGATAAAGTCCTTACTATACCAGACATTCGGGTTTTTTTTGTCGTTTTTTTTTATACAGCAGATCAGACTCAAGTAGGCTCCACCGTGAGAAAAGGAGCACTTCAACATGACAGAATCAAAAGCAGTCAAATTATCAACACCTTCAAACCTGGTCCATAAATTAGATAAATAAAAAAAAAATCTTTAATTACTCTTAAAATCATCTCATCACCACACTGTGAAGATTTTTACCAGCCCTAGTGAGTACACTCTGGAGCCAGCGCTGGAGCGTGAGGCTGTTGGTGGAGCCTCTTCTCTCCGACTACTGCTCCATAGTTTCCTCAACAGCTGTGTAGTCCTATTAATAAAGTGAACAAAATCCATAATCACAGTATAACTACTACCATAAATTCATAGGAAAAAACTGTTTGCTAATGAAAGAAGTTGATCATTTTTTCTTTTTTTTGTTAGTTTTTTGCCAAAGATGGTGTACCACAGAGCGTTTTTGTACAGGAGTGTTTCGTGTATATGTATTTACAAACAAATATACACAAACAATGTTTTGCAGACTTCAGAGTGTGTTTTCTGTGAAAGGTTTGCCCCCCCCCCCCCACCACTCAAAAGCAAGCAATCTTTATAAACAAAGTGACTATACAGTAAAAAAAAAAAGTAAACAGAAGCACATCCTGACGTGATGACTATATCACCGCCAGGGAGTGAGTCTGATTGGACGGCTGAGTGACGCAGGTGTGACGTCAGAGATGTTACCGCATGGATCCCATTCACATCCGGGGTGTGAGTGCGTTTCATTTACAGCTTTCATTTAGTTGAATAAGCTACTTGCAGCCCGAGCTGCAGATGTGCTCTTTGGGCTGATAAACACTGATGACATCACGCACCCCTCAACAACTGCTTCCACCAATCAGAGCAGAGCCTGCGTTGAAAGCAGGGTGCTCTCTTCCGCTACTAGTGTTTTGTAATAAGGGTGTCGGGGTGTATCAGTGGAGCCAGATGCTGTGAAGGTCACATGGAAGATTGTCCCAGTGAATCTATACAGAACACATCTGGAGGGAAGCGATGTGATCGACTTAGAAAAACAATCCCACGGAAACTTTTAAAGGATACTTATGTCAAGTACATTTCTGGTTGCTTCTCTCTCAAATGTCTTTAGTTTAAATGTTTTTTATAGATTTTCTTACCACTTCTCATCATCATTCCATTTAGCCATTATTTGTTAAATATAAGTAGACGTAGCAACACATATCTATCATTAAAAACATTTTTTTAAACTCAGCAAAGAACAGATTTTGATTAGCTATGACTTGCCCTCTCGTGCCTTTTGTCTTAAGTGTGTTACATATGCATTTACTTCATATCTATTTTATTTTTTTGCGATTGCAATGCTCACACTGTTGGGTACATTCATGGATGCGAGATGGAGACAGAATCCTCAGCCCCGACCCCTTGTGTCCGGTGTGCAACCTCACTTCCTGTCCGGGTCACTCTGTCCCAAGAAGCAACTCGCTAGTTCTTAGTAGGTTTCAGGAGAAAGAGTATTCACCTCCTTCCGCACCGATAGTAGCTCAGAAAGGACGAGGATCTTATCTCACACCACAGAGGGTCAACTCCGAACGGCCAAAGAGTTTGATGCAGTTATTCACCAAAACTCAGCTCCTCGCTAGTCAATACTGCCCCAAATACACACACACACACACACAAACACCAAACAAGCTGCCGAGCGACAGAGGGAGAGCTTAGGTGAAAGAGGAGGGGCGGCGTTTGCATGTGGGAGGTTTGCGAATGTACTGTAGTGGAGAAAAAAAAAGGTAAGGATTCTGTTGGTGTGTGTTTGTGTGTGTGCCGGCATGGTGTGCTGTGTAATGCATGTGAACTTGAGTGCACACTCCCAAAGAGGTGTGCATTTGTGCAATGGGGAGGAGATGTGCGTCGTACGTAGGGCCCTCACACCAGGTTGTACTCTTTGAGATTGAGCTGTAGGATGGTGTCTTTGACAGCTGCAAACACAAAGCGGATGTTCTCAGTGTCCGTGGCACAGGTGAAGTGAGAGTAGATGATCTTGTCGCTGTCGGGGTTTAAGTCCACAAACATCTTGAGGATGAACTCCCGCGCTGCCTGTGCATCTCTCTGTGGACCTGAGAATCAGAGATAGGCAGACACATGCAAACATATATTATAGTATTATATAAACTGATTAAAAGGAGTGGGTCAGCAGTTTGGGAAACAAGCTTATTTTTTATTGATGACGGCTGTCCTTTAAAAGTGATGATCAGCTTAGCATAAAGACTGGGGAGAGGCGGCTAGCCTGGCTTGATCCTACTCACTAAAACGTAATAATTATCACATCTAATAACATTTGTGTAATAAGCACATTAACATAAATGTAAATATATCAGAATTAGTTTTTCAAGGGAGTTAAATGCTATCAGCATTTGATAACAAGCAAGTGACATTAAAATGTTGCATCTCGCTGAACATAGAGAGCAACCCGTATTATAAGTACTGGCTAAATGGATAAAATATTGTGTCAAGAAATGTCTAATGGCGCGTTTCCACTGCAGCGGGTAGCTCGCTTTAAGCGTGCCGAGCCATGCGGGGCCCGTTTTTGGTTGCGTTTCCACTTGGCCTAGCAGGTCCTAATTCAGTTTTTCTGGCCCCATAAAATCGTGGTTCTAGGGCCAGGAAAAACCAGGCTGAGTCGGGCTGAGTATGCTAAACTAGAGAGAGAATCGCTGGCAAGGGGGCTACAACTACAACAAGATGAACATATTTGACCGTGAATTAATTGTAATACACGTTTCAAAATGATGCCGAAGTAACAACATACTGATACCGGTTAGTAAAAACCATGAATTAATGCTTTGACAAGTCTGCAGACAGACGGCAGGCGAAAAACCCTTTTAAAATGCGTGTTTTCTAAATGTAGCTTGGCTAAGCTAACGATAGATATGCTCCGTCCGTCCACACTCACAACAACGGCCTATACAGACATAAATAAACCAGCGACTGTATTCGCCATGACACAGGCAGTCTGTGGTTTGTACTTGTTTAACTTTTGTCTAGTTTCTGAACAGATATGAGGAGCTGTGAGCTCTGAGTGCTAAGAGCTAACGGCTGTGTTGTTTTTCTGGGGCTCTCATTGAAGATGACGTCACGGCTCCGCCTACACTGCGTTACTATAGTAACTACCCCAGTTCCTAAACTGTAATGGAAGCGCAGCATTAAAGTGAGCCGGGCCTAATAAGGCCTAACCAAACCGAGCGAGGCCGAGCGAGGCCTGCAGTGGAAACGCGCCATTAGACTCTGGAGTCAGTGTGTTTGGGCTACTGTAGTGGAAGAGGACCTGCTCCATATTTAGATATGAAGGACTCATTCTGTGTTAGCAAAAACATGATTCTTAGTGTTTGGTCGTTTTACATTATGCCCCAACCTTCTTATAGATAGACAAATAAATTGATAAGGCAGCAGATAATCGACTGGTTGGTTTAAAAGTGGGAACATCAATAATATGTTATGGGTATACTCATTTCAAAGTGGTGTTTTATCATTAAAAAACACATTCACATAAACTACAGTCATTTATCTAAGGGGGCGACTCCCAAATGTACATTGCTAGATTATTCAACAGACCCACGCAAGCACACTCGTATACACACTCACAGATATACACACGTATAAAAGGACCTACCATCAAACTCTGGGAAATAGTCCACCAAGTGTGAGTAGGAGATCTTCTCCTCTAGCAGGTCCTTCTTGTTGAGGAAGAGGATGACGGAGGAGTTTTGAAACCAGGGGTAGGTGATGATAGTCCTGAACAGAGCTTTACTCTCCTCCATACGGTTCTGGTGCAGAAAGAACAGTCATGTTTAGTATCAATGGTTGAGACATCTTGTTTAGGTGTAAGAAGTTCATGACACATTACTGCAATACTGTTTCTATGTTTGTGTGTGAAGATACGTTTTGAATGAATGGTCATGTGTAACGTCCACCTACCTCGTTGTCGGACTCCACCAGGACCTGGTCGTACTCGCTCAGCGCCACGAGGAACATGATGGAGGTGACGTTCTCGAAGCAGTGAATCCACTTCCTCCTCTCTGACCTCTGACCCCCTACATCCACCATCCTGACGGCAGGATGAAGGGGAATGGTTGGATAATGAGTGAAGAATCAAAAAAGGGGAAAACCTTACGAGCATTTAGCTCTAGGTTAGCTAGCTTTGTTTTAGCTAGTAGTTCACATCGTTAAAAGGTATCGCCAATTTCTGGCCTAATGGATAATAATTGTTTTGAAGGTTTTGAATCCATCAAGATATATTTACAGGTGGTTTTGGACCTTATTTATTCAAGTATATTCCACATATTGAATTATGCTTTGTGTAAAACAAAAAGTGTATAAGGTTCTATAATAAAAGGAACATTTTAGTTTCAGGGCCAGCTGTCCTAAAGACATTCTCTGGCGTCTTCCTGAACATATTTAGCACATGACCTAAATAAAGATATAGTCTGTCACTCTGGGACATATGAATCCATCGTTTGGTCCTGATTGTCTGTTTAAAAAGAACAAAGAGAATATTCTGCAGTCCTATAGATATTTTAAGCAAAGCTTTTGGAGAAAACAACACCTGATCGATTCAACACCTTAACAAGTGGATTAATCAAATTCAAACGTGTGCAGAACTCTATATTTGGCAGGAAACTAAAGAAACAACAAATAAACAAGAAACACATGTGCAGTGTGAAGATGCTTTTGTCCTTGTAAATAGTTGAGCCATGCATGCCACCACAAAGACGAAAGCTTCCCGTTTCAGAGCAATTTAGGATCAGTTTTACATCAATGCCACTCAGTTTAGGAAGGATTTACATTGTTTGTCAAAAGCCCAGTCACAATGTCTAAGCAGAAGCCGTTGTGAGAACATTTTTAAAAAGCGCGGAGCAGCCGCTTAGCAGATTGTCAGATTGTGCAAATAAAATGTGTAGGATATACATTTTCAAGATAAATATATGACTGGTTTTCTTAAACCAAGTGGCATTTATGTGGTCGTGGATCACATCTGATACTAGATCAGTCCGTACTTCTGTGTGTGTGCTATGGTGAAAGTGGAGGGTCATTCATTTATCTACTCGACAGCTTTCTCAACCTTCTTGGGACTGTGTGATAAAACACCACACAAAAACATTCTGTGAAGTTTTGAAAAACACTTGTCAAAGACAAATGGGGTAAAAGGAAGAACATAAAATACAAAAAGGACAACAAATGACATGGAGAGGGAAACAGAAACTAAGATAGATGACAGAAAGAGGACAGGTTGATGAAAGATACAGGGGGCACCTCTGATGGTGGGATCCTTTTCATTGTAGAAGAATGCCTCCTATGTAACCCAATGAGAAGCTACGAGCTGAAAAAATGGCATCAGAAGAAGTGTGGTATATATACACATTTCCTCAAAGACAAACTAATACAACTAACCTAGCACGATACTGACATAAAAGCCTCAGCACATGAGCCTGAAGCGCTAAAGCCATTCATGAACAGCAATCCTGTTTGAAATACTTCCTGAATCCTCGAAAGGTTTCAGGTTCCCTGAGCTTCTCCTTCACAAGGTCACCCTTCACTCGTCAGGGAGTTACGGTCCCAGTTTCATTAAGCGTTCATTTGTGACAACCGATTCAATAGAATATTTCCGGTCAAGAACCTTTAATGCCAAGCCATTACGTAAAAAGGCATATGGATAGATTGAAGGCTATCATTCTGTATAATGTTGCACCTTTCGAATGCACTAATGCAAACCCCAAGACCAGGTGCATTATGGTCTTTGAGAAAGTTAATATAATTCACAAGGCAATGGTGCCCCCTGGTGGTGGCCCAGTCCACTGTGGTCCACTGAGACGCAGGGCCAATATAGGCCCTGCAGGACCTGCTGCCCAAAATAACACTCCTCCACCGGAGAGGACGACCTCGTTTCTTCTGCCAGCCGGAGAGGAAAGGAGGAGGAGAGGAGGAGGTGACCCATTTACAGAGACCGGGCACCAGAATGTAGGACTTTGTGTTCATTAGGGGGTTGTGTTATGTGTGGTACCATTGCTGTTGGTGACAGGAGGTAAGTGTAGGACTGAGGAGAATGTTATCTGGCAATGACTTTCGTTTACATGATTAGAGGGAATGGTTATGAAGCAAGAATGGAATAGAGACACTTAAGTGCGAAAAGAAAGCATAAATTAAACGGTAACACATTGTTTCCATTAATTGGGAAGACAAAAGCATGGTTTATGTGGCGCTTTTGACAAAACATCAGATGGCGTATGGGTTAATGATGATAAAGGACGGGACTGAGCCAAAACAGGCGTCTTTCTACCTGAAAATGATGCTTTGCAAGTCGAATGGGTACTCTATGATTCCTGTAGTGGGGATGCGCACCCTGAGCACATCCTGCTGAGTGGGAAGATAGCCGGGATCTGCAATACGATCCAGATCGGAAAGATAACTACAGGCAGGTCGGTCGAGGGGAAAAAGAGAGATAAAGAGGAAAAACAGACAGAAAACAGTTATATAAAGCATGACAGGCAATTACCGCAACCCCCCTGCCATTTCAGGAAGTGTGGATCAGTCCTGTTGAGGAAGCTTCACAGAAAAGGCCACAACTCAGAAACATTAGGGTGAAAGTTAGGGTCACTGCTCCACCACTCTCTGTCCAAAAACCAACACGAGCTGTTAATTTGCAACTGCAGCTTTCAATTTAAGACAATTTGTGCGTGTTGATTATTTTACAGACCGTGAGGTAGCAATAGTGACTGTAGTAGCAGTGACTTCAGCAGCAGAAACAGCAGCCCCCTCGTTAGATAAAGAAGGACAAGTATGATACCAAAGATAGAAGGAAGCATGATCCATACGCAAGCCATTCTAATCTAAAAAGTTGTAATTGTTTTGTTTTTCAAACTGTTCCCGATAGCTTCTCTGATTTGACAGCTGCTTCCTGGAGAACCTTTGACATCCCTAATCCTTCTTCATCTGGTATTTAGAGGGTGCTCCCAAAACGCTACAGTGCAGCACGTCTGGCTTTAGTTTAATCGTGGAGCCAGAACATTAACATTTTACTGAACACAAACCACTGATATCTTAAATCAGGTTGACTAATGTTGCTCATTTGATCTAAACACAACATCTATATATTTCTCTGTAGGACAATGTTTACTTTTTAAAGAAAAGTAAGGGCATTTTAAAGTTTGTAATCGCGTTGGAATAGCACTGACAGGCTCCAGGGATGTGAACTCTTGGGTACAAATAGTTTAGCAATACTTTTTTTTTTAAGAAAGTACAATTTACAAAAGCTTAGCCCCTGCTTAACGATGAGTTAATGTCCTGACAGATATCAGTGGTTTCTGTCCTCTAGACCACTGTGATGCTGCAGTCCTAGTGCCATCGGGGTACCTGAAGATGACGTTCTCCAGGTCAAACGGGTACTCTATAATACCCGTGGTGGGCACACGGACCCTCAGCACATCCTGCTGGGTGGGAACGTATCCCTCCGCAGTCACACGGTCTATATCACTAAGGTAACTGGAGATATACATGATAACAGTGTGGATAACACTAAAATAAAAACATATTTAATGATTTCCTTATCTTATTCACTTATACACACATGGAAAAACAAATAGCCTGCATATTTACCATAACATAGACATTTACACATCATATATCAAAGTCCTTATTTTACCATTGCAGATGTTTGTGCAGAAACCAGCTTTCTTCTACATTATGGTGATATCATTTAAAGAAATGTCTAACATCTATGCTGGAGCACAGGACCCTAAACAACTTGCTATTCCCGCTTATATATGTACCTAACATATGGAAATATCTGCAGCTGAAAAACCACCCCTAGGTCATTCAAGACAATGATCTCAAACCGCCTCACTCAAGTTTGCAATGTTTTCATTAAGTATACGTGCCTCTTTTCCTAATGACTTTGCATCATTGCAAATGAGGAGCACCTCAATCATTTGTAAGGATTACATATTTAATTGTGGCGAGATGGCAAGCACACCTGCATTCATGCTGACTTGAAGCAGCATTAAAGTGTAGTAATACAAATCCACAGCCAGGGGGCACTAGAGAGTGAATAAAATTACTTTTAGCCATTTAGCCCTGGGGTCACATACATTATTACAATGCAAGTGTGGCAAACGCATAAAGCCATAGAAGAGGCGGCTGACATATTTGGCAAAAAAAGTAAAGGGCAAACCTAAATAACAGCCTTAAAATGATATCAGTAAAAGTTACCCTCTAATAGCTGGTGGAGGCCGGGTATGGAACCCAAAAGACAAATTAGATACAAATTATTATATACTAGAGATAAACGTTCAAGGTGGACAATACCCAACAATTAAATAGCCAAATAGCAGTGACCTCGTACATTTTTCATATGGGATTGTTAAATTGTAAAATTGGCTGGTGAATTTGGAAACTAGTCAGATGTGTGTGACAAAATGCTACCGTGTTGCATACATTACAAAACACACAAGGAAATGATACACAGGTAATTAAACACGACCTGCAGCAACAACAACACATCCGAACACATCCTAGTTACTAAAACTGTTGTGACCTGATCTCTAGGAACAACTCGGTCTCTGTGCCACAAATTAAATTAAACAAATATTTACACTTAACTGTGGGTTATCTAGTTTCAGAAATCATAAAAAGTGCAATTTAAAATAAGGCATTTGAAAAAATAAGTCAATCGCTACATTTGTGAACAGAACTAGTGTGACCAATATATTATTCTTTCTTGATGATGGGGACCTGACACTTTAACAAACGATCTGCATGCACGCACGTTGTCATGTTAATTTCAGCAAAAACACACCTACATTGTACAAATCCTAGATGCATTTGAGGATGCCACAAACACACGAACAAAACGTTTCCACATAACTCATTTGTAAAAAATTCAATCCGTTTTACACAGATTTGGGAACAGATACATTACCAACTGTTGTAACCTTTAATTGGCAAAGGGATCCTAATTAAATCATTGCAAATTCAAATTTAAAAAATCTGGTAAATCTGTATCAGTCCCCAAACCAGCACCATAGACAAACTCACAAAAATAACATTGGAATGCACGCAGACTTACTATTTAGTGGAGTCAGAGAGCTGGTACTCCCGGCGGCGGTCGTAGGCCTCCTGGATGCCCGGGTCGGACCAAAGGCATTTGATAGCTGCAATGAAGTGAAAGTCAAACCCACTGATCTTCTCGATGTCCACCTCCTTGACGATCATGGCGTTAGACTGAAAAACAAAGGTAAGGGGAAAAAAGGTGAGTTAAAACAAGATAAAGGACAGTGGGGAGGAGCAGTGAGAGAACAGGGCAAACAAAAAAGTTGTTGCCAAGATTTGGGACATATCTGTAATCCATCTTTTGTGAAAAAGTATTGTTTGCAATGTATTGGTAACAATGATCTAATCTAATGCTATAACGCTTAACAATAATATATGAAACAAACTAATATTGTTCTTCATCTACAACCAAATTTACATACTCCAGAACAGGGGTTCGCAACCTTTTTTCCCAAGAGCCCCCCCAAATGACTCCTGTTGGAAGTTGCGCCCCCCCCCCACACCACACACACACACGGTGGGGGGGCAACAGCGGTAATTAAAGTTTAAAAGTCTCAAAAATGCAACAACTACTGTCACAAACTGGATGAATGTGAAGTATTTTGTTAAAGGAGGATGAAAGCGTAATTAAGGAGCACTATTGGAGTGACTTTGATGGTTATTGGACTCAGGATAATTAATTTGGATTCCCGCTGTATGAAGAAATTAAAGGCGCAAGTGGAAACAATTCACAAAGGGATTAAACTGTTTAAAACACATGCTCAAAGTAAGCCGGATTTTGCCGATGTGTTTATGTGGATTCAAAAGTCGTAAATATCTACAAAATGGAGGAGACAGATCGGATCGGAGCAACTGTGACAAATAATCCAACTGAAACCAGCGTGGACAATGACTATGTTTTAAAAATGCGCTTATCCAGACAAGCCCGGTTTGGACACTTTACGGGCAGAAGAAACATTTCTATTAAAGAAAGAATTATACATTTCTGTCTTTTTCTGCCTTTAATAGCTACTAACTTGAATTGTTATTAAAATTATTTAATCAATTATTTTGTATATGTTATTGTAATGTAGAGACAAGGCTTTTAGTGACAATCATGTATTGCAGGGGTGCCCAACCTTTTTTGAACCGAGAGCTACTTTTAAAGTTGCCAGTCTGCCGAGATCTACCAGTCCAAATAGAGAGGCGTAGCCATTACTGACAGCCTACTACCAGGTAAATACACACTTCTACTTGTACAAAACTGACCTTTGTACAATTAATACTTCATAAAATACTACAGATCCTTTATCTTACCTCTTTCTAATCTACACACATACAAGTATTTAACTGAAGTTACACAACAGTGTTGTTGATACAGAGTTTATTCACACGTCACTACAGTGGGTAATGTTTTCAAGAAACATTGAACAGTGCTGCCACTTATGACACAGGGAAAAAAGAAAAGACTCTGAACCCTTTATTTGCCATTATATAAAAATAGTGTTGCTACAAAAGTATAAATTAGGCTTACTAATAAGACAACTCAGATCTGAAGCTACACAGGAATCTGCTGCCAAAGTGCAATTAAAAAAGACAAAATTAATAAAATCAAACCCTTTTTTTGTTGCATTTTAGTAGATTATAAAAATAAATGCCTTTAAAATAGGATGCAAGCAACACTAGTTTCTTAACCTGAATTGATAATAGACTATAATCAATTTAAGTTTGCATTCTTTTACCATTTTGTACAATAATTATAATGAATAAGTTCAAACAAACTCAAACTTACAGCTGATTAATAACGGTATCTAACTTGAGTTTTTATCATATCGAAAACCTGTTGAAATGCTACTGTTATTTTTATTACGCATCGACAGCCTCCAGGAATGCTTCTTTCACAACTTCATCGTCTTGAAAGACTTCATGTGTTTCGCAAGAACGTGACTTGACACGATAAGATGCTCTGGAAGCAGCCTTGCTCTTGTTGTTGGGCCTGGTGAAAATGGACTGCTGTGCATTTAGCTGTCCTTTCAGGCCCCTCCCCTTTTGGAGCGTAGGGCAGAATTAGGAGGGAATTCCGTCTCGTAGCGTTTGTGCACTGTTTTGAAATGCCGCTCCTAAATTACCCTTCTTCGATAAAGCCACGCTCGCATTGCAGATGAGACAGATGGACTTTGAATTGGAATAGATACACAAATAATCATCCTCCCACTCGGAGTTAAAATTATATATGTTTTGCTTCTGCCATAATTGCGGTCTTGTGTGTGTGCGGACTGTCACTCCTGGTGTTGACACGGACAACGTCAGCAAACTATTGCACTGCCCACTGCCCACCAGCCACGCCCCGACACATGGGGTCACGCCGGCCAATCACAAAGCTTTGATGCGTTCAAGTGCATTATACTGGCACAGGAAGATTATGCTACAGGACATTAACGATAAAACAGAATATTGTTATTCTATTTTTAGACACATCTCGCGATCGACTGGGAATCTCCGCGCGATCGACCGGTCGATCGCGATCGACTGGTTGGGCACCCCTGATGTATTGCCTTACAATTATATGTGTAAAAAAAATTTAAAAAAATAAAAAAGTCTTAAGATGATATTTGGCCTCAAATCATCTGAGGCCTGGCGCCCCCCCTGCAATCTTTGGCACCCCCCAGGTTGGGAACCACTGCTCCAGAAGGTTGTGATTTGTTTTAATGAAACTAATTGATCTGTGGATGGCAACAGTAGAATGCATCATATGATCTTTTTTATGTCAGCCATTTGCCAAATATTGGTCCTTGTGAAATATACTGCCGGATTTCTGTCCTAATGAGTGGTGGACTAAATGAACCTTGCATCTCAGGTGTAAATCAGTCCTCAATTAGAAGATCACAATAACAAACCAAGTCAGCTCCAAGGACTGAAATGGAAAACCACTTTAGCATAAATTGATAGACTATAATTATGTAGTTTTATTGTGCCCCCATTGTCAGTATCTAATTCCATTCATTTGGATAAATAAAGTATATTTCGTTTAACCTGTTAAGGCCCGAGCCTTTTTTTCAGGTCTCAGGCTCGAAAATGACATTCCCAGAACAAATGACCATATCTTCCCTTCTAAAAGGGTTAAATTAATAATCTTTTTTCTCAAAGCAAGGTTACATCTATGAGTTGGATGTAGAAGTGTCAGAATCAATATAGATGTTTTTATTTTAAAATAAATTCAGATTGAACACAGTAAAAAAAAAAAGTAAATTATTGTGTCCGTCCAAAAAAAAAAAAAATATTACTTTTAGTGAAAACCACCATTGAATGATGGGATGGTAGACTAAAAGCTTTAGGAATCCAAACTACAACATATAATAAGTACCCTGTATCAAGATTGATGTAAACCAAGTGAAATTTGACCTTTTTAGAGAGATTTGGAAGAAAAAAAACACTTCTGGGGTCATTTGGGTGGATTTTCCATATCTCTGGCCCCCCTTGGTCGATTTTGATGATTGACATCTCTTTCTAACCGTCAGAGCCAATGGAATCGAGGGGAACTCCCACATACACACACACACACATATTACCAAATAAGGAGTGAGCCAAAACCTGAAGCTGTGATAACTCTGGTGGCTACCATTAGCAGCTAACTTTTACTCTCCGATTTTTAAATAAAAATGGAATTATGGATTATAAATAATTTTTTCAAAGTGACAGACACATTCAATTAACCTATGGATTAACCGATTCAACCGCGTTTTTTCTCGTTTAAATGCCATTGAACACGACTTTTGATCAGAATAACAGCTAAGGTGAGACGATATCTCGTTTTTCCTACGTAATGCTACGTGTTGTGATTTGCTTGCTTCCCCTGTCGCGAGTTCTGATCGCTCAGTGATGATACTATACCTATATAATCTGTGGAGTCTCAGCTTTAAATCGGATATCTTGTATGTGCAGTTAAGATAAGTAATAAGGGTATCTTTATCTTGAGTTCTGTGCCAAAGTGCGTTAGCATTTTTCGCTCAGGGGTCATTTAGATGTTTTGTTTTGGTAAATATGGTTTGTATCATCAGTTAGCTGAGATTCCTCCCGTTAATCTGGTGTAACACATTAATAGGTTTTTAAATATTAAGATGCCCTGAGACACAGTGTCGTGAAAAAAAAAAAAAAAGACCCGCCGAAGGGGTCATTGGGGCTTAACAGGGAGGCCACCTTAAAAATAATCAAAGGGGACTCAAACAACTGACTGGAAGGAAGTAAAGAATATTATCTTATTTCTGTGAGTGTGTCCTTACCCGATTCTGTTCAAATTTGTAGGGGATCTTGAGGGTCTCAGTGGCGCGGATCATGGCCTGCATAGAGGTGAAGATGTTTTGGTAAACAAGCCGGATGAAGCCTCTCTTATCTTCGTCTGAGTACCCGGCTCCATGAATGATCCTCATCTGCTTAATGAAGGTGCTCTTGCCACTTTCTCCCGTACCTGAACAGAACAGGGGAGACGTACAGTTAGAGAGAGCAGCAAACTGACATATTGGGCACAGGAGGAGGGAACGGCACATCCACAATACAAACTGATTGAGAAGAACAAGAAACATGCAACAGGGGGTGTCATGTTGGATACAAGCATTTTAGAGGATTCTGTTAAGGTGCTTTTGTTACTGAGTTATCAGTATGTTTAGCATAATGGGTTCTACACACAGTACAGCCTTAAAGATACCAAGATAATGGGAGGAGAGTGAGACAACAAGTGTGGTAAGACACTTTCTGTTTCTGTCCATTCTTCAGAAACCTACAGAATTGTCCGTGGCAAACTCACTGATACTGTCTCTTATCCATGCATTTAGTTTTAATCAAATCGTTTTCATGAAGAAGTAAAACATATAAATAAAAATCATTTCAAATAAATATTTGGTACTTTAAAAAAAATTAAAAATCAAGCGCTTGGTAACTCATCAATTTTGGGTAATATTGGTAGCCTTGTGTTTCACATCCTTGTGTTATACATGTGTAGCATCTGAGAGGAAGGAAAGGTCAATGAGTACAGAGAAACTCCTATTTCCGCATTGCCTTGTTCAAAAGGTATAAACAGAGTTTTACAGCACTGCATAGGACTTTGTACTCCAGAAGCAATATGACCATGATTCCAAGATCTGAGAAAACATTTGCTGATTTATATCTTTAATAGACACAACATTAGGTACAGCCCAGCCTCAGACACAGGGGTCGGGATAATATCAGGTTATAAACTGTGAGGCGGGCACATGGCCAACAGAGATTTTTCTGTACCGTTTAGATATATCCTCTTAATGTCTCTGCATGTGTTAAAGATCCCACTTTATAGTTATTTTGACGTATACTGTCATCAGAACATTATTCCTATTGACCACTTATTTTAGGCACCAGCCACCCATCCTCTACAAATCTCATTTGTACATTAGGGGAACAAGCCAAATCTGTGACCCAAGACAGATGCTCCATGAAAAGGAAAAATGACCAAAACACTTGGATCCCAGTTGAGGACATCAGAGGAAACACTGCAGCCTGTTTGTGTATTTGACGTTTAGTGTACATTCATTTCTGTTAATCCGCATAAGATGGTCAAAATAAAGCCAGTAATGGTATAATACTTCCCTCAAAACTTGATTAATGTTGGATGACCATCCGAGTCAGTTATACGCGTTTTGAAATTCCAAGTTGATTAACTAAACTTGTTACGACTGCTGAAGCATCACAGCTTCTTTGTCCGACATCAGGATGTTATCCCTCAGTGTCGAGAGTGAGCAAATCAAAGATGTTTAAACGAAGAAGAGGAGAGATGATGAGTTCTGGGAGGGGGGGTTATAGGCTAATTTAATGAAGATAATTAAGACAACTTGCCCTACATTCAGGTTCTAACACTAAAGTGCCTCTGCCAAAAGGTGACGGCAGGGGTCAAAAGGCTGCATTCCTCCAGTGATCCTCCTCTGCCCTCTTGAGTCCATATCTGGCTGTAAGATCATCACTTCAAGTGGTGTCGGGTTTCCAGATTGACACATATGGCGAGGATCCCAAGAAAAGGCTTTGGATTATAGGCGTTTGCTTTAAAACATGTATTCCGCTTCTGTTCACCAAAACCCCCTTGATTTCAGGGGGACAATCTGAATCTCTGCATTGAGTACAACACACGTTTTCAAGCTTTTTCAAGACCAACAGCCAAATAAACCCCTACTTGGCTGGGGGGGGGGTCTGTTGGGCCTAACCCACATTTCACACTAGCCCTCTATGTTCCTCATGCCCAGAAACACCACCCTGAGGCCACAAAAAAAGAAAGAAAGCTGATGGCATTTCAGTTCCTCAGTGATATCAAAAAGGATCCAGCACATCCATAATATCTGCAAAGCTGAAAGGGAAAGACGAGGAGGAAAAACACACACATACTCATCTCACCACCACCTACATTCAAGGTTTTTGAAGAGCAGCCATATTTCTGTTACCATAGCAACCCTTCTCCCTTTCTTTTTCGTTCCTGTGTTGTTTTTTTACCAGCTTTTTTTTTTTTATAGATTTAAACCCCTCCCATCCTCCCCTTCTCTCTCCACTCATTCGTAGCAGACGGTAAATATAACTGCGAGCCCCTCAGGCCTGCTCTGTGCTCTTCATCTTTCGGCTCCACAGAGACTATGAAGGTGGTGGGGTAGGGGGGTGGGGGCTGGTCTGGGGTCAGTATCGGGGGCTTTCTAACACCAAGGACTGTAGAAATGTTCGGAAGACATAGCACCTTCTCCACTGATGCAGGGAGAAAGGCCTTAATCTCAGAGACAAAATGAGGGTTTCAACACTGTGTCCATATGGGGAAATGACCCTCCTCCGATTTATCATCCAAAAAAAAAGCACAATTTTGGAGATTAGAGATTATGATTCACTGAAAAAGATCTTTCTCCTTGGTGAATCAATGCTTTGCAGTAAAAAAGTAAAGACTGGTGCCTACAAAGACGGCAGTAGGGCTGAACGATTAATCGATTGTAAATCAAAATCGCGATTTGAAATGATGAGATTAGGAAATCGCAAAGCCTGCGATTCTTTTTTACATTTTTGTATTTGGTGTGTCAGTCATCCACACCAATCAGAAGTGCTGTGCTCCCATCCATGTGTGCTCCACATGTACCAGCCATTATTAACCAATCAGAAGTGGCCCATGATAGAAGGCAGGGGTAGACATTAAGGGTAAAATGCCACTGGCCCTCCGGGCCGGTGGAATTGTATTATCACTGGCCCCACCATTGTAACCACTGGCCCGGAGCATTCGTCCAAAAAAAATCTACTAATAATGAAGAAAATTAACACATTTGTTGCAATAGTAATTCATGCACTAACTACATTACTACTTGTACTACAACATTTGAACAATCAGTTCTTCCTCATTTTCCTCAATTGTTCATATTTGGTTTATTAAAATAATGATATTGTGGTCATTGTTAAAAAATGCTATTATTATGAGTATTATTATTTGTATAATGCACTTTCTGCCTTCCTGTCATCAGGAGTTAGAAATGTAATGGCTATAGATTAGATTAGAACCTTCATTATCCTAAACTGCTGGGACATTTCTCTATAGCCAATACCTTTTATATTTTCTACTCTTCACTTACTTGTCGGCATAGGTCGGTATTGATGTACAGAGTCGACAGAAGACCTTGTTTATATTGGCATCATATTGAGAGGTGCAGCCAGTGACGCGTCCTAAAACCAGGAAGTAAGCTGCTGGTTCCCTCGACAAAAAGCAATGGGATTTCTCCATAGGGTTTTGGAAAATAGCTGGAAATAAGGTCTGTGGAAAAGAAACCTGTTTGATAAATGCAAGTTTTGTTCAGCCGGATAATCTCCACATGTCTACCCTACTTTTATAATTTTCGAATCATAAATCAAATCGATAGATTATAAAAGGGTTTTAGGATGCGTCACTGTACCACTAGAAGCCAACTCCATCGATCAAGCTGGCTGAAACGTTCTCTCCCTCTTCTTCTCATACTCCCTGTCACTCTCCTTGAACTCCTCCGGTGACTTTCTTTCATTTGAAGATAGTTTTTTGCCCGGCGCTTGGCCGGTTACCGCTGGTATTCAAAACATTTTGGCGAATGGTTAGGTGGCGCGATAGTCTGTAGTGAAGGAGCGCGCTCCCGCTCACGGGAGCCTGCTCGCGCTGCGCTCTGCAGGAAACAGCTGTTTGCTTTTCACCCAACAACGACAAGCGACTCACGAAACGCTATGTTGTAGCGTTAATAAACGAAACAATTTAACAAAATTGCTAGTCAAAATACCAATACCACAGTGACAGGAACAATTTTTTGTTTAAACAATATTTTTAGTGGCCCGAGCGGGCAAGTGGAAAGTACGTTATGCTGGCCCGGGGTGTCTAAATAGTGCTTCCGGGCCAGCGGGCCATTTATAATGTCGAGCCCTGGAAGGTGATAGACAGATTGATCCAATCACCTGCCAAGTATTTTTGAAAGTGCCTGCCATTTCCAAATGGCTTCCAATGGAGCTTTCCTAGATCTGAGTCAGGTTAGTAATGCTCCATCACATGTTTCTATTACAGGGTGAATCTTAAACTGAAGCTTGACTTTAAAGCAACCCAATGTAAGTTTAGTTATTTCACTCGTAGCTCGGGCTGTGGGGGTGCTAGAGCATGTTGATGCGACATTCCTAGCCGGAGATATTGCCGCATTTTACAATAAACTTCCGTTGGGTCGCTTAAAAACAAATACCGCAATATTTGTCAGAAAAATCGCAATTCGATTTTTTTTCCCCAAATCGTGCAGCCCTAGACGGCAGTCGGCCTAATAAAAATGATTGGAGAGGATATTCTTTGCATTGGGCAGGCACTAATGTCCTGGTAGAGACTGCAGACTGCTTTAGCAGAAGGAGCAAGAGGATCACTCTCCAGCTGGATGTCTGATTTATTTCTCGTGACCCCGTCACAAGATCTCTCTCTGCTGTGTTCTCTTAACTGTTGTGTCCCTCTTTCCCCAGACAACACACTACGAGCCTCTGTCTTCCCTTTTTTCCTCCCCAGATTATACCGGCACCAGCCACAACCATTTATATGCCACCAGCCCTTACAAGTACTCTCTCTTCCCTCCCCTTCTTCACAACCCCTCTTAACCTCCCTAAGGCTAGAAATATGCCTCTCCATTCTCATCCCTCTCTGTCAAGAATTTTGGATATTCATAACTAGAATCCATCCATTCTTTTTTGGTAATGACCTAGAAAAAGGAGGGCACCTTTTAATAGCTCACACACTACTTGGGTTTGATAACACTCTACTCCAGGTAGGGTTGTAACGGTACATTGAAGGTTACAATACTATTTGTTTATCTACTGTACTGAAAGAAACTTGAGTATGTTTTAAATTCGGGGTTACAATTCAAATGCTGTTGTTTTTCTTAAAGGGTAATTGATCTGCTAATAAATAAGAAATAAATAAGAAACGCAATATTTTCA